AATCCAAAAACCCTCGAATTGTAATTCGAGTCAAGTCAGATTAGCCCTAACTGAACCCGTTCAAACTTAAATATATTTTATTTCATGATAAGATCCGTATATTCAAGTTGAAAGGAATCCATGAGAATATACAAGAGTTCGTAATCCCGCTATTAAAACTTACAAATTGTAAAAGTTATGAGCAGGAAGATGACAAGATCACCATCTTCCAATTACATCTCATCAATCAATGAACTCTTGCCAAAATGTTACAGATCATTTTGACGCCCCAAACTCACCATCCTTCAATTTCAACTCTTCATCAACCAACTCTTTACTAGAAATAACCTTTCTTTCTTTCTTCTTATTTAATATAATTGATCAGTTATTTTTATTTTATTTTCTATATTAATGAAGCACACAAAAAAATATTGAATGAACTGACATTATGCTTCGTCCTTACTATATATATTATATATAAATAATATAAATGTAAATCAATTGAGCAAAGCCTGATGACGAGGATACCGAACGAAATTATTAATTATTAATATTATTAATAATTAAATAATGTTGAACATCAGAATTAATGGGGCAATCTCTTAGTGAGAAAACCCCCTCCAAAAAAAGGCGTATGCCGCTTAATGCGACGAGCACACGGTAATCTTTAGTAAAAGGCGAAAGAATAGTTCGCTTTGCGCTTACCGCACGGCTCCGGGATTCAACGTGCAGTAGTTTTGGCTCTTTAAATCCATGCGAGGCCTCTCTGTTTGTGTTACTGCTGACCGATGTGGGACAAATCTATAAAGATTTTTTATTGGGCCGAAGTTGGACAGCCCAATTGAAAAAGGCTCGAATCGCCTTTTCCTTCTGCCAATGGTATCCAATAACGTACTAATGATTGCCACAACGGTATAGATATATCGGATCTTAAAAAATATTACGAGATATATCAATCTTATCAAATCCGGAAAATATATATTTAGAAATATTTATTATTTTATTTAGTTTATTTGTTCAATGTAAGACTCTCATCTATTTATATGTTATTCTGATTATGAATAAAGATATCATTCTATAAATTTCTACAACAACAATATTACATTGATTGGGAATCGGAAACGAAATCAAATCAAAGTTTTCTTGGCCACGAGTGTCTAATCTTTTGGCTCACCTCACATATTTATGGCTTAGAGATGTGTTACTCATTCGATAATAGAGATGTCAAATGAATTGATGATACATATAAACTGATCTAGAGTATATAATTATTCTGGTATATATATATATGGATTACATATCAAAGATATATTTGAACCCAATTTCAAATTCAAATAGGTGTCACACGGACTCATCCGATGTGTTAAGCTCATTATCGTATACATGTAAGATCTATAATTGAATTTTGTCTTACAAGGTATAATAATATATTGAATTGGTTTTAGTTGTTTGATGACAATGATGAGTAAATCAAAACACTTGTCCATGTTTCCATCTGATGAGTAAACGGTTTTTGATGCACCGAATGTTAAAATAGAAAAACAAATATGTGATTTAAAGAAATATTGATTTTAAGATATGATTAGAAATAATAATAGACACAATATTATATCAAGATAGTGTATCGATTTTTATTTCTATTTTTTTTTTTTCATATTTTTCATATAAATGTATGAGTTATTTTCATTGTAACAGAATAAAAAAAAGATGTAGTAATAAGAGTAATTTTGTTACTTTCTATTTGTTTCGCACCGCTTGCTCCGGGAAGCCTGACCGTGTCCTTGGACAACGATATGGACCACATAAACCCTCGTGGAAATTGTGCCGTACTCTCGGGTCTTTATCAATTGTGCCGTACTCTCGGGTCTTTATCCCAAAGATGGGCCTTGGAAATAGTTAACTCAAATGAGAACGGGCCAAGCCCTATTGAACAAAAGAGCCAAAACATTATCTGATTTTCGTATTAAAAATTAATAACTAATAATTAATATTAATAATTAATATTAATAATAAAATGCTTGATCCAAATAATTGGGCGGGGTGCGCCAGGCCCTCGCTGTAGTGCAACGCGTGGGCGACGCGCGTGAGCCCCGGCAGCAAGCTACCGGAGTGGACCCACCCCCATAAAAAATAGAGTTAATATCGTTGTGAGCCGATGGCCCACGTATCAGATATTAAACTGATAAGAACAGATACTACACTTGATCTTAGCCAAAAGGCCGAGAAAGGTATGCTTTGGTCAGCTGCCGCCCCTTCCGTTTTATAACAGCTTCCCTTCCACTAAGCCTTATAGTTTTGTCGATGTGGGATTCGAAGTTATAATGCTCCTCTCTCTGTACTTCGCAAACTCGATTTGTGCTTGGGCTACTATCATCATTTTTATCTCTATTTAAATATCACTATTATATTATCATCCGACCAACGCTAAATTATATCCAGAAAAATACGGATGGATCATGACTTGGAAAAACACCCAAGATTTATACTTGAAAATCTTCCTTCTTCAATTGATATTATATTGTTTTTAAAATAAATAAATAAATGATACACTAATCTATGAACTTTGTCCATGTCCTTTGAATTTCCGTATTCTAAATTACAAAAGGTATGGTGGTCGAATAAATCCTGTGTTAGTGTCTTTCCATTTTGCACCTAAAGGAAAATGTAAATAAAAAAAATTCAATCTTTTTTCTTGAGGATCCCTCGTATATTTTTTTAGAAAAACAAAATTAAACAAGATATTCTAATCGATAACATAAATTTATAATAATAAGTTTCCGCCACCATGACAGCTTTATTAAAAAAATTATACGATTTATACTCTCTTTTTTTTTGCCAAAATAATTTTTTTGCCACCTTGTATTTTTGTTCAAAGTTAGTATTTTTGTTCGATGTGTATTCGTTTTTAGTTTCGTATTTGACTTAATCAATTTCGTATTGTTGTCTGTTAAATAAAAATCGTTTTTTATATATAAATTGCTCGTTTTTTCTGAAATAATTTTTGTTCTTAATGTGAGACTCAAGAACTATAAAAGACAGTTTTATTTGTGTATGTAAGTGCAGTTGTTTTCAGCTTTAGCCTAGAATGTGTTGGCGGGCATATGTTTTTTTATTGAAATTTTAAAAAAAATATATATATGAAAAGTACCATTGAAATTTAAAAGCATCAAGTATTGTTATCTCACGATAAGAAATCATTAGAGTGAATTTGAAAATATAAAAATTTTCAAGGTGCAAATTATAATCCGAGGAAATAATGTAAAAATTGGAGTTTATTTTGGAAAATGGTTTACACGATTACATGGTTATGGAGATATAAAAAAAATATTATGGGATTTTACATATATTATTTTCAATCGCGGTAAAATGGTATATAAACAAAATAAGACGAAATTCTAACTACGAGTGGGAATATTAAGGGTGGATATTCGGTTCGGTTTTTCATAAATTAAATCAACCCAAAAGTAACAAGTAACCGTAATCGAATCGAAATCAATATAAATTTTGAATTATTATGATATTTTTATTACTGCAAATTCGAATTCGAACCAAAACCCGAACTTAATATAAAAATAAACGAAAAACTTGTATTTTTCTAATAGAAAATAAGATATACGAATTTGAACCGAACTAACATAAATTCTGAATGGATATTGATTTTCTTCGAGCTCGAATTAAACCGAAAGAAACCTGAACAAAAAACCGAAATGATAACCTTTTGTTTTTATATACTAAAATCTCTAAGTACTATGATTCAAATGACGATTTCAATTTAGATTATAACAATGCTTCAGCAACATAAGATTCAAAATGGTAGCTACGCTTTGTGTATAACTATCCTCGGCTTGTCTCATTTATTTCACAAGTTAAATGAATCGGTTCATAAAACAAAAAAAAAATATTTGTTTTTATATTATAAATAAATATTAAATAAATAATATTATAATATACAAATTAAAATATTACAAATTAAATTTAACTTTTGGATATATTGCACCGATATTATAATATACAAATTAAAATATTACAAATTAAATTTAAATATATTTAAAAAAAACTATGCAAGCCAACAAAAAATTAAAAGTAAATATTAATTTGATATAAAATATATGTTTTTTAAAACACCCTAGTTCGCTAGTTTGAGCTGCTTAAACTAAAATTAAGTATTAATTATATATATATTTTAAAACACCTTAGGTCGCCAAGGTTGAGCTCGGACGGTGACGAGTTGACTTAAATATTAACGATGTGGGACGGTTAGCCAAAATATCATGCAAACTAAAAATGAAGATTTGACTTCGCATTAAGATTAAAATTAAAACAAAAATAACAATACTAATTTATTAAATTCAAAACTGGTGGGGGCCGCGCGAACGCAGGCCCCCTCTGCCACAAATTATGACGTAGGCTCTCCCACTTGGGGAGACCTTAAGCTAAGCGCCCCTCCGAAGTGCAATGGAGGTCACTAGCCTAGGCCACGCGCCTTCTGGATCGCGCGTCGACCCCGTCCAGGTAAGTATGTTGGTCGATCTCTCGAGTTCCCTTCTTATGCTCCCTCCCCTTGTTCGCGCTTTTCTATTCTTCCGATGTGGGATTTTCTATTTTATTAGAATGATTTGGGCCGTGGGCCTGTATTAGTGAGAGCCCAGATGTGGATATGGGAAACTCCGAGGAATTGCAGCTTTTTTAGATATTGAAGAGAGTACGGCCCATATTGGTGGAAGCCCAGTATGGATTATGAAAATATCAAATACATGTTCCCCCCCCCCTTTTTTTTTACTCATTTCCACTAATTACTATTTCCCATGAATTTTGTCTCCGTTTTCTTTTTTCCGTTCTTCTTGTCCCCATTTACATATATATATATATAATATGTATGTATATTGTGCAATTGTTAGGAGTAATATATAATTTAAAGTTAACGGAAAACTAAAAACAAAAACGAAATTCCAAGTTTTAATCACGTTTAGGATATATTAATTTATATATATAAGGATGTGATAAACGTCTAACATGGGTCATGCCTCGGAAGAATCTGCATATGAAAAAAACCTAAGATACAAACATTGGGTCAAGAAGAGACAAGAGACATGAAACCTTGGTCTGATTCCAAAGCTTCCATAAACTCTGGAACAAGACACACCTCTAAATCTATGCTTCCGCCTCCTTCCCTTCCCGGATAAGCCGACACTTTCCCGTCGAATTTATGAGAGTAACCGCTTCGAAGTGTTACCGCCTTTCCCATCCCGAACTCGCATCCGTACTTGTCGAACCTCGGTGAGCTTCCCATCATGATACTAAGCGGCTCGAAAAGCCGGTCTATGTGATAAACGTACGGAGATTTAAACCAATGATCGATCGTTTCATCAATCTTTTCGCTCGTGTGTCCGACCACCGCTCTATGCACTTTCAACGCCGCCCCTCCGAGGCCGTTCTCTAACAGATCCCCGGCTTTTGATGACGTTCTTACAGCCGAAATGCAGTTTCCAAAGTAGTTTCCCGACAAGGGTGGCTTCATTCTCGATCTATTGTTCGCAGCGACTCTGCAACTCGTCTCTTGATCAAGGGGTAACCTTCGTGCCCTCGTTACCGATCTCCACATAAACGCGGTTAACGATTGGAACGACGAAATCATTGTCGTTCCGCATTCTTGGTTTGCTTGTGATTTCAGCCTTCTGATTGTTTCTGACGAGAAATGAAACATCCTTTCCTTCAGGACCGGAGATTCGTATCTTCTGATGAATTCGTCGGGATGATTGAACGGGAGACCGAGAATAGGACCGCGCCCCTCCGGGAACCAACGTCGTAACGCGGGAGGGTTCGTGATACGGAAACCGCCGTTCTTGTCGCTTTCTTGCGCTCGGAATATCTCAGACCACGAGCTGAAGAAACTCCAGAACGAGCTTCCGTCGCCCATTGCGTGATTCATAGACAATCCAATGAATATTCCATCCACCAATTCTGTCACCTATTCAAAAAAGTTTGAGCTTTTCATCTCGAATTCGTATTCTTCTTGTAACAACACATAATGCAGTGAATCTTGATTACCTTGACCGATAAAAGACTCTGCTCATGGCCATCGTGATTGACGGCTTTGTGATGATCGAAGAAAGACTGAACGACCAAAGGAACATACTTTGATCCAAGAATGTCAGAAACGGACAAACCCGTTGTTGCGTGGATGAATCTAGCACCCGGGCTGTCGTTACAATCGACGAAAATCGAATAGCACTTCGGATTTTCCGCCTTCGAGGTCACGAGACGGCCGGCGAGAGGATAGAAATGGACGAGAGCAATGGAAAGAGAGTCTCTAAGCTTCTGCAGAAGAGTGTTCATGAACTCTGTTTCGTTGTGCGCCTCTTTTGGCTTTCGAAACAAGTGACCCTTTTGGATATATTGCACCGAAATCATCGCGAGGTCGAAATGGGACAGGTGATAAGCCTGTTTCGAGTCTTCCGGCATGGATTCGGGCTTCACAAAGCACTCGGAGACCGTTTTTACAGAAGGGGAATCCATGTTTCAGACAAGTGTAGGTCTTGTCGCTTCAAGAAAGCTCCTTCATCTAGGGATATATATATATATCATATATATCATAAATAGTTTTTTTATTGTGGGTGGAGTTTGGTCGGTCAGTAGTCTTTTTGTCACGTTTTTTTTATTATAGCCGTACAAAAATAATCATTATATATATATATATATATATATATCATTTGAGTTTAAATGTTAAATTAAATATAATAATGTTTAAATATCTTTGTAGTATAACTATTCATAAAAATAATTCCAAACAAATATTTATTTTCATAAAACATTTAAAAATTATTATATTTATTATCCCACTTTTCAATTTAAATTTGAAAATAAATATTTATGATAATAAATATTTTTATAAACATTTTAAAATTTTAGTTGAATATATGTAAATTAATAAAAAAAAATTATTGATGTCTGTTGTTTTAAATGGATATTTATTAAAATTATGCATTTTCTAAAATATTTTTTGGATATAATTTTTGGGATATATAAATTATCGAGATTGACTACATTTAAAGATATAATATTTTGGTAGGTGTGAATATATATTTCCACAAGAGTAGGTAATAAGCATATTAAAAAAGAAAACATCATTGATGACCCCAACTACTCGCCTTCTGATATATTTAAGTTCCTTTTTCCCATGCTACTCTTTTTGTTTTCTCCCATGCTCACATGTTGTGACTTTTGCCCATCCTCTTCTTTTGCATTAACAATATATATATATATATATTATTTATATTTCGGTTCTTTCGATTTTATAAAAAAAATATCAATCAGTTATTATATTATATTCGATTCGGTTCCGTTTTTTAAAATTAGATCTTTAAAAAAAAAAATTCCGGGAGGTTTTAAAATTGGTTCGGTTCCGATAAATTTAATTTTTCTAAAATTAATATTGTTTAAAAATTTTGGACGAATCTGAGAAAAATACCCAAAAGCAATCCCTCCCTTCACTATTTGGTCCTTCCCTTGTTGTATTGTATCGATCCATAAAATTTTATTGTTTTGAGAAAAAAAAAGAAGTTAAAAAGCTTATATTAGAAATAATTTCAGTAAAAGACGAAAATATTTTGGTTATCAAATGATTATGGTTTATATCCAATATACAATGAGATCAACGACATCTACCTATAAAACTTTAGATTATTATTTTTTCAGAGAGCAATTAGAGAAAAAAAATCCTAATTTTCAAATTCAAAATTAGAACAAAGGATTATTGAAATAATTGTATCACTTTTGTAAACTCAATTACTGCCGTGTCGGCAGGTAGGATAGAAACTGTATATGTCGGTGGAGTTTGGTGGGTCAATAGTCTTTTGTGCCACGTTTTTTTTATGGTTATAGTCTTAAAAAATAATCAATATATATATATATATATATATATCATTTGAATTTTGAATATTAAATTAAGTATAATAATGTTTAAATATCTTTATAATATAACTATTCATAAAAAATAATTCCAAACAAATATTTATTTTTATAAAACATTTTAAAATTATTATATTTATTATCCCATTTAAAAATTATTATGTTAAAATGATGTAATATTTTTAAAATATATTTATAATATAATTATTCATAAAAAAAATTCTCTATAAAAATACATGACAAAACTATTTGCATTTTATTAAAGATATAATGTATTCAAATAAAATATCAGTGATCTATATATATCTATCTATCTATAATACATCTCGTGAGATGTAAATACATCTAAAAGAGATCCAATTACACTTTGCAATCGCCATTCACCGAATCGTTTCAAGTCGTCGAAAAGGGAGAGTTTTCGTACGGACCAACAGCGAGATCATAAATTTCATATCCTATATAGTCATATGATATATGTGTGTATATATATATATATATATATATTTAGTCATATGATATTTGAAACTCTTGACCTAATAAATGAAAATTTCCAAGTTGGGTCAATTCATAATCGAGGTAGAGACATTATAAGCCTTATTTTCGTCATTCAAATCGCTTCTTAAAGACCGGTATTTACATGTTTGAATATTTAGTGACAATTTTTTTCCTAAAAATAGAAATTTTATTTTACGGATTCGATTAGAGACGAAATAGACAGTGAAAAGGGCAAAGGTCATATGATTTAAATCGGTTTGTCCCAATTGGTTCACTTCGTTTACATGTGTAAAAAAAAATATATAAATCGGTTTCTTTTTATTTGGATGTAACCATAAAATACTATTAGGGCCTTGAATGGTTGGAGTTTTTAGAGTTTTTAGAATCCAAAAACCAAAAAAAAATTATCATTCAAGTTTTCACAAAATTATTTTTCTTAAAAACTTGAAAAATCATTTTAGTGAAAAAATCAAAGAAAAATCAAAAGCTACTTTTTTATAGTTTTCAAATACTGTAGAATCCAAAAACCAAAATCCAAAAACTAAAACTAAAAACCCAAAATAAAACTCATCCACATCCAAAGCCTAGATCATTCAAGGATTTAACTCGTAAATCGTATTATCTTCTGATGCTTTTGAAAGTTTTTTTTATAATCCGAAAATTTATTAGGCCTTAGACCCAACTATATCTCCCAAGTAGGGGTATAAAACGGACGAGACCGGTCCGATTCGTTCTGATCTCGAAAAATTTTAGTCCAGTCCAGTCCAACCCATTTTTTAGCGAGCTAAAAATATATTAGTTCAACCCATATCGTTTTAGTTCATGAGCTAAACGAGTAAGTCTTCAAGCCAAATATATAAATTTAAAAAATAAAATTTTAATACTAACAAATATTAAAACTAATTTTAATATTTAAAATATAATTAAAAAATAAAATTTTAAACAAAAACAAACTAAATATGTAATAAAAATATAATTTGTATGTAAAAATATATAAAAATATATAAAAATATAAAAATATAAAAAAAAATTATCTTTTTTTCTGATCCTTGAGCCAATTCGACTCGTGACGAACTGGCTCTCCATGAATCTGACTCGTGATGGACCGGCTCAGAAAAATATGGGTCGGTTCGTGAGTTGGTCCGCGATCTGCGGCTCGTTTTAAACCCACACTCCCAAGTGAATGAATGTCCTTCCCACGTGAAAGATAATTTTTAAAATGTTGTGACCAAAGCTTTAAGAATATCATCAATAGAATATTAGATTTTAAAATTAGTATATATGAAAATACCGTTAATGAAAATATCAAGAGTTCTCTTAAAATAAAATAAAAAACCGTAAGATAGAGAGAAAACTTTGATCACAAAAGAACATTAGCTATATGACCAGAATAAGGTTTTTTGAGAGAAAGATGTCTTTTGTTTTTTAAGAGGAATAATTGTTTTTTTTTTATTATGTGAAAATAAACATTTAAGATTAGGCTTCAATATTAGAGGGATATCCAACGGCGGAATTAATATGATGATCGATTTATCATTATATATATATTTTTTTATAATAATGCATTTATATCGTTTGCGATATAATATTTGTTGTCTTGTTCCTTGTGACCCAATATATAGTCTACTGAATTTTTAATATTATAACCAAAGCGAATCGAATCGAATTTATTTTGGTTACAATTTTGATTAGATATAAGGCATCCGATTTAAAATTAAACAAATGTTTGGTATCGAATTTTCAAAACCCAATATCCAAATTACCATTAACCGATTAAACCGAATCAGACTGTTTGTTCATCTTTGATATTCAATTGGGCCATTGGAAAAGTGCCTTTTCCCTAATATAAATGTAAAATTTTCTTATTTCTATTTTAAAATATTCAAATTTTACGCATCGGCTTAAAATGGATTATTTGGGCCGAAGTCGTTCAACCATATGGCCCGCACACCATCGCCAATAACTGTTTCAATAATTTATTATGTCTTCGAAAAAAAATTTAGAAGGGAACCAAATTAGATTTGGTTGCAACCATAAAACACTGAAAAAACCTATTAAATTAAAAAGTACAAATTGAAAAACGATTACAACATAATTAATTATAAAATATTAAAGTATACATAAAAAATTATAATTATAATTATAATAACAATAACAATAATAATAAAATAAATAATAAATAATTACAAATAAAAGTAACATTTCCCGACAAAGGATGGGTAGGGGCCGCGCGGACGCAGGCCCCCTCTGCCACAAATTATGACGTAGGCTCTCCCGCTTGGGGAGACCTTAGGCTAAGCGCCCCTCCGAAGTGCAATGGAGGTCACTAGCCTAGGCCACGCGCCTTCCAGATCGCGCGTCGACCCCGTCCAGGTAAGTATGTTGTTTGGTGCCTGGAGCTCACTTCTTATGCTCCCCTCTCCTTGTTTGAATCTTGCTATTTTCCCGATGTGGGATATCCATTTTGTGACGAACTTGGGCCATGGGCCTACATTGGCCAAAGCCCATGTATGGATTTGGAAAATATCAAATATATGCGTTTCTCTGAAATGGTAACGTTCTTCCTTTCATCGTCTACTTACTGTTGTGGCAAAAATTGGACATTCATAAACAAAAAATATTTTATTCGAAAACTAATCAAAGTGAGATCCGATCTTTTACATGAAATACACACGAAGATAAATTTTAATAAAACGAGTATCCTCCGAATATATTAAAATTTTACCCTTTATTTTAATTTTATTTTCAGTTATGAAGTTACCTTTCTTTTAATAAATAAGAGAAGAGTTTAACTATAACTAAACAAATTTTGGAAAAAAATATTGAATGAAATACAAATATCAAAATATTTTGAATAAAGGATTGTTGTAATTTTGTACATTTTGAAATTTTAGCCCTTTGAGGTCTAGAATTAGAATCGTTGCTGGAAAAAAAAAACACTAGACGCATCGCTGTTGGAATGGAACCTCACTATTACATACATATAAATAATAAAAATTATTATTATTATTATTATTTATTTTGAGATGGTAATTATTAATTTTTATTTTAGATAGATACATATTAATTCAAATTTAATAATTTGTCTTTAATTTATTTTAAAATTTGATGTGGTTAAGGATATCAAATCTAAAGAGAGCAATTTAAATGATACTCATTAGAGTAATAAATGTTCATTTTAACGTTAGTAATTATTTTTCATAACTAAAAACTAATTTGTTAATCTTATAAACTAGAAATCACGTAATCTTATTTTAAAATTGGAAGGGAATTAAGGATACGAAAACAAGAAAAAAACGCACGTGATTAAACCAGAATTATGTTGGCGACGTGAATGTTATAAGCCAAAAAGAAAATTTTAATTAATCCTTTGGGCGGGGTGCGCCGGGCCCTCGCTGTAGTGCAACGCGTGGGCGACGCGCGTAGGCCCCAGCAGCAAGCTACCGGAGTGGACCCACCCCCATGAAAAATAGAGTTAATATCGTTGTGGGCCGATGGCCCACGTATCAGATATTAAACTGATAAGAACAGATACTACACTTGATCTTAGCCAAAAGGCCGAGAAAGGTATGCTTTGATTAGTCGCCCCCCTCTTCCTTTTTATTACACACTCTCTTCTCGTAAGCGTCTTTGTTTTGTCGATGTGGGATTCTGAGAAACACTTTCATGCTTCTTTAATACCATTCTCCTCTCTCCCTCAACTTGCCCATCTCTATATATCGAACTCCAATATTATACATAGATTATTAAACTAGCTTATGGTGGAACATATATATTATGAAAGAAACTAAAAAAAACAAAAACAAAAATTAAATCAAATCTATGTACTACTGAAAACGTGATGTACGATTAAATTAAATATAATATCCACCTTCAACCAAATGTGTATATATATATGTATGTATATATCCTGAATTTGTATGCAAATTCCAGTGATGGGGTAATGAACAAGTACCATCGTTTTTCTTTTCGGATTAAGCAAATGTCCCTTTGTTTTTTTAATATCTTTCAAAAATGATTTTTTTTAATTTTTTTAAAAGCTTAAATCATATAGTTTTAATTCCTGTAAATAATAAAACTTAAGGAGTTTGTGTTTTTTTTTTTTATAATTTGTCCCAAAAGAAAACGCCACTGATGAAGGACATAACCCAACTGCCCATCTCTCTGTAGAATATGAAACAAGGCTTTGCACTTGTTACTTGTTTGTTTACATTTTCTATTCACATGTTCCAATGAAAAAACATTGATGTGAAGAGGTTCATCATCGAGGTGGTCGGAAACGGGGCATCTCGAGAGCCTCGGCCACTACGGCCCTCAACGCGCCTCGACAGCACGAATGGCATCATCGGCATTTGCAAAGTTCACAAATCCAAAACATTTTGACTTTCCATCTCCATCCTTCATCACTACAATACTTGTAATGGGTCCGAAGTCACCGAAAACGTTCTTCAAATCTTGTTCAGTTGTCGACCAGGAGAGGTTCTTCACAAAAACATTATAGATTTTTTCTCCTTCTAGGGTATTTTCTCTGTCACTCCCACGAATGAACCGACCAACAAAGACTTGCTTTGCCATTTATGAGCATCCCATTCGCCTTATCAATAGCAGTTTGAGCCGACTCGTCGTCGTCAAATTGCACAAAACCGTAGCCTTTAAACTCCCCGGATGAGTCAGCAGCGATCTTGCAGGAAAGAATGTTTCCAAATGAAGAAAACATATCATACAATTCTTTGCTCTCAATGGACCTATCCAGATTTTGCACAGCCAGAACAGGTGAAGATCTCGATCAGGAGAGAGTGTCGAAAGAAACAAAAAAACCCGAAACGAAAAGGGAAGATAAATGTGAAAAATCATAGAAAATTGCAAAAGAAGAAAGAAAGTATACCTTGACGAAGAGATTTCCAGCACCACTCTGAAGAAGATTGTAATCTTGATGAGAGTACATGAACCTGATCGGCTTATTGTTCAACGGAGTGAAATTCACAACATCAACCGCCTTAGCAGCTGCATTAAAGTAACAATGAAATGAGAAGACAATACCAAGAAAACCAAGAAATTGTCAAAACGACCAAGAATTCGCCATCAGATGCATCAAAGTTCAGAACTTTTCCATCTCCCATAATGCCCAGAGACCCTTTCCATCTCCAGAACCATTCAATCAACCAAAACTTCACATTGGCGGCTTCAGAAACAACAAATCAAAGCAGAAATAGAGAACCCAATTGCTGAGTCGATGAAAAAACGAATCATCTTGAGGATTTCCGAAGCTGACAAAGGCATAACCAAGCGACCCTCTCCCCCTGCAAACCCTAACCGACACGACCGAGCCGACTTGGCCGAAGAAGTCGAAGAGTTGCGCCTCCGTCACACTCGTGTCGAGATCGCCAACGTAAAGCGACGGGATAGTGTCAGATGAACTCGCTGACAACGGAATCCGCGCCATTTCCAAATGCCCAGAGCAAAAGACCGAAATTCTCGGAAAGATTCATCCTTTCTTGAAGAGTTTTTTCTTCTTGATAACTCTCTACTCGTCGGGAAAAAAAAAATCAAATTCCTAGAGAGAGAAAACTTGGATCTTGAAGGCGGTTTTCCTTTCTTTTTTCTGGGATTTTTTTTCCTGTCAATTGGATTAAGGGAAAAAGATCAAATGCTTATAGTTTTTCTGTTTTTTCCCTCTTTTAAAGTATATTATGTTATTTACCTATTTCAAACTTATATTATTTAAAAAAATATATATTTGTCCCATTAATTTAAATCCATATTCCAGTTGCATTTAGTTTTACAATTTCATTCCTAACTGTGTATATACTTATATTTCATTAAATATTATATATATATATATATTCTGGAACTATAAATAAATTAGTCTAAGTATTACCTTAAATATTTTATTTTTAGTTATGAGTATTTACCAAATTAAAATTTATTCTATATGAATTACAATCTTGAACATTGAACTACTACAAAACCTCATATAATAGGGATCGTCATGGGTCGGGTACCTCCAATTTTTAGAAAACTCTGTCTCGTCTTCATTACCGTGAGTTTTATAAAAATATTATCTCAGTTTTGGCTTCATAAAATCCAGGTACTTGTAGCTCGGGTTTAATGAGATTATCGGTCTTGTATTTACGGGTATCCGAATCCATACGACTTATAAAATTTTGAACTATAAAATGATAGATATAGAAAATACAAATGAAAGAAGTCAAAGTATAAAGAGAAAAGTTCACGATGAAGAAGAGAGATGAGTAAAATTTGGAGAGATGAATGGTTGATTCGGTTGCATAGAATGAGATTTAGAATGGTAAAATTTTTGTATAGAAATGTTTAGAACATAAAAAAATTAAACTAAAATAAAAGTATTTTAATAAATAATAAGAATAATTTAGATAAAAATATTAAGAATATAAAGTATATTTTATATTTTTAACAAATAATACCGGATAAGAGGTATCCTCGGGTTTACGGGTTAAAACATGTTTGAAATTTTAGAATAGTATTACATCATCGAAATAGAAGTTCCACCAATCTTAATTATTTCAACAGCTTATATGGTAGGGGCCGCGCGAACGCAGGCCCCCTCTGCCACAAATTATGACGTAGGCTCTCCCACTTGGGGAGACCTTAGGCTAAGCGCCCTTCCTAAGTGCAATGGAAGTCACTAGCCTAGGCCACACGCCTTCGTGATCGCGCGTCGACCCCGTCCAGGTAAGTATGTTGTCCGATCTCTCGAGCTCCTATCTTATGCTCCCCTCTCCTTGTTTGCGTCTTTCTATACTTCCGATGTGGGATCTGTTTTTTCTTTTAGAATGATTTGGGCCGTGGGCCATAAAAGATTAGCGGAGGCCCATGAACCGTTAGGTCTTAATTTTTATTTGTTTGGACCCGTCACATTTTGGTTTACAACTAAGATTTTCGAATTTTTACTCATTTCAACATTGATTTATATAAATATGAGATATATGTCAATTAGATGTGGTTTGGGTTTATGAAATTGATGATAGGAATAAGAATTAAATGAAAAATTTTTGGTCATGGACTTAAATCTTTTTGGCTCCTCTTTCTCAAGATCGGGGATAATCTCACGAATCTTTGGCTTGGAAACATGTATTTTATGGGAATGAATATTGATGCCATCTAACTTAAAGATCCATTTAAAAGTATTTATACACAATCACATTCACTATCATATTTCAACCTAATTCGAAGTTTGATGTCAATGTTAGTGGTGTTCATTCCCTAGTTAAATATCGATTATCGACTGTTGAAATCGAATAAAAATTCTATCCGACAAAATAACCGATTATAGAAGTTGACGATATTTTTGATTCAATATAAAATATTAGACTGAATATTTTGGAGATCCACGGATATAATTGTATAGCAAACTCTAACAAAGTTCCACTAATTAAGATTTAAACGATGGAGCAGCAGATAATAACTCTATAAATGAACAAATTCCTATTACCTACACTAAAATATCTGAAGCACAGCATCGTTAAAATTTTACATTTAAACTGACGAAATAGATAAATTAGTTTTTATTCAGGCGTTCGAGAGGTTTGAGACTAATTTTCTGTATTTAATACAAACATTAAATGATTAGTTATTAATTAATTAATTAAAATTAATAATTAAGTAATATATTAAGATTTAAGAAAAATCAAATTCCATTTTTGGGCGGGGTGCGCCAGGCAACGCGTGGGCGACGCAAGTGAGCCCCGGCAGCAAGCTACCGGAGTGGGCCCACCCCCATAAAAAATAGAGTTAATATCGTTGTGGGCCGATGGCCCACGTATCAGATATTAAACTGATAAGAACAGATACTACACTTGATCTTAGCCAAAAGGCCGAGAAAGGTATGCTTTGTTACGCCGACGCCTCTTCCTTTTTATTACACGCTCCCTTCTTCTATATACCTTCATTTTGTCGATGTGGGATTTTCCATTTTATAACAAGCCCCCTTTCCCAACCTCTCTTATCTTTGTCGATGTGGGATTGTCTTTCCTTTCTGTCACTTCTATACCTATGGTTCCAATATTTATAGAAAATATACTACTCATCCTTTGTAGAAATATGAAATAACACTTTGATCTATATATACTCCGATTATATTTTCTATTTACCAATGTAAAAAACATGTACCTATGAACATTTTCTATTTACCGATTATATTTTCTGTTTACCAATGAACATGATTCAAAATGTAATTCCAAAAAAAAAAAATCGAAGATGTGATCTCTCTCTTCACTCGGAAACTTCATCAGATTCGTCGGCACGCCTAAGACACTCGATAGCCTCGGCCACTTTGTCCCTCAACGCGTCCGGTGACTCGAGCAGGTGCAGAACCGCGGTCTGGTCCATCTCAAGAAGCATTCCCGTCACTTTATCCGTTCTCTCGCTCTCTAACCGCTCCACCAAATAATACAGTCTATTACCGAGCATCTATCGAAAACAACTCAACGCAGTCGGAGCGAGTAGAAAAAAGTTGAAACCCGAAAAAAAAGAATCCGAACATGTCTATAACTAACTCGAAACAAACAAACAAGAACTAACCTCCCTTTGCTCCTCGGGAGATGCATTGGCGAGGGCTAAGGCCAAAGATTCTTCTTGGAAAGAGTCACGTGATGTTTCGGGAGCGGGAGATTCTGCCGGGTTGAGAGCAGGAGGGTAATAATGATGAAGCGTCTGCAAGCGGTTATTATCAAATGGGAAAATTGCTATCCAACCAAAACCCGAAAACGAACGGGGACATGTCTAACTTGAAAGAAAACAGACATGAAAAGTCATCGACAGAAACTAACCTCCCTTTGATCCACAAGAGACACATTACTAAAGGCCGAGCCCAAAGCTTGTACCTCGGAAATGGGCGTCGGACCACCACCTGACCAAATCCATTGGACTTGTCCAACTTGCTGTTGCGGATAACCAAATCCCACCTAACATGAAACACTCCAACTCGTCACAAACAGAGACGAAAGCCCATAACTTTACATGCCAAATGCAGAGAAAAAGACCCTTCAAGCATGTTTAGTTTGATAGATACTTTGATCGGAAAACCAAAGTGTATGGAAGGTAAAGAGCAATTACTTGTGGATGAATCGTAGCAGGAACTTGCCCATACGAAGCATCAGACGGGTATATGGGGGTCCAAGTATAAGCTGAAGAAGGCAAAGCCATAGGTCTCATCTGTGAAAACTGAGCCTGCATATATCCGCACAGCCGAAAACTTAAAAAGGGTTTTCTTCTCTTTTCCCGAAAGAAAAACGCAGCATAAAATTACCCGACAATCTCTTGCTAAAAAACCAAGACGAAGATAAACTTTTGCATATGAATATGACCTGAGCATTGTCAGCATCTTTCTTGGGAATTTGCTCAAACTTAGATCTGAGTTCTTGCTCTCTTTCAGACTTCTCCAGGGCCTTTTCCACGTACCAAACCCTTTCATCGAACTTCTTCCCGTTAAGTGCCTCAACAGCACGAATGGCATCATCTCCATTTTCAAAGTTCACAAATCCAAAACCCTTTGACTTTCCATCTCCATGCCTCATCACTACGGTTCTTGTAATGTGTCCGTACTCACCAAAAATGTTCTTCAAATCTTCTTCAGTAGTTGATTCAAAGAGGTTCTTCACAATAACATTACAGAATTTTGAAGTGTTTTCTCTCTCGTTCCTAGGAATGCACCGACAAATAAAAACTTGCTTGTCATTCATGAGCATCCCATTCAACTTATCTATAGCAGCTTGAGCCGATTCATCATTGTCGAATTGCACGAATCCATAGCCTTTAGATTCCCCAGATGAATCACAGGCGACCTTGCAGGAAACAACGTTGCCGAAGAAAGAAAATGTATCATACAATGCCCTGTTGTCAATGGACTTCTCCAGATTCTGCACGGCCAGAACAGATGAAGACCAAGATCTCGATCAACGAGAGAATCACGAAAAAAAATGGAAAATGAAAAAGAAGGTACCTTGATAAAAATATTTCCAGTACAACTATTGAGACGACTGGGATCATGATAAGAGTACATGATCCTGATTGGTTTATTGTTCAAAAGAGTGAAATTCAAAACCGTCATTGCCCTAGCAGCTGCAATTAAGGAGAAAAATTCGATATTGGGTTGAAAGAAAATGCCAAGAATTTGAGGACCCATCTCGAGTAAGAAACAGATTCAGTGATTTCAATGGCCTCCACTATCAAAACATTCAAGAATTCACCATCAAATGCATCAAAGTTCAGAACATTTTCCACCACCACCCCCCATAACTCAAAATTCACTATAACATCACCACTGAATGCCAATAATTTGAGGACCCATCTCGAGGAATAAACAGATTCAGTGATTTCAATAGCTTCCAATGTCAAAACATTCAAGAACTCACCATCAAATGCATCAAAGTTCTGAACTTTTCCATCTCCCATAACTCAAAATTCACAGTAACATTAGTCTGACTAATGCCCAGTTGCTCGAGTTTCAAGAAATTGTATAAGAACCCAAGAACTCATCATCAAAATTCAGACCCTTTCCATCTCCAGAACCATTCAATCAGCCATAACTTCACATGGGCAGTTTCAGAAACAGCCAATCGAGCAAGAAATGTGGAACCCAATTGCTAAGTCGATGAAAAAACTAACCATCCTGGGGATCACTGAAGTTGACAAAGCCATATCCAAGCGACCTCGTCATGTCGATGTCCGTGCAAACCCTAACCGACGAGACCGAGCCGACTTGGCTGAAGAGGTGGAGGAGTTGTTCTGCCGTGACAGTCGGGTCGAGATCGCCTACGTAAAGCGACGAAGCCATTTCCAAACACCCAGGGGAAAAAAGACCGAAATTCCTCGGAAAAATTCAACCTTGATTGAACTTTTTTTTTCCCTGAATAGTTTTTCTACTCGTCCGGAAAAAAAAATCAAACTCCAGAGAGATAAAACTTGATTCTTGAAGGGTTTTTCTTTTTTCAGCTTTCTTGGAACAATAGAAGAACCGAAGTTTTCTCGGGAATTTAAGAAAAAAGATCAAATTTTTATATTTTTTTTTTGGAGGTTAATGGAAGCGTTGAAATATTATTTTGATGGGAAAAAGTGTGAAATTAATATTGTCAGAATACAAAGAAAGTGTTTTTTCCAACAATTGCAGTGCTTTTTTTTACCTTATGTTATTTTATTTACCTATTTCAAATTTTATCTTATTTCGAAAAAATAAGTAGGTACGTCCCAACAAATTTCTTATTTATAGAATTTATTTTCAAATTTGCATATATTTATCTTTCATTTACCATTATATTATATATATATATATATATATGGGGTAATCGCATAAAAATATCCGAATTTTTACAAAAATCTCAAATAAATATCCGAACTATAATATTGTCGTATAAATACCTGAACTTTTCAAAACTCTCACATAAATATTCAAACTTTTAAATTTTTTCCAAATCAAACAAACGCAACTGCTCACTCAGCAAAAAACTTCAGACTCAGCAAAAAAAACTGTTGACTCAGCAAAAACTAGCATAAAAATATCCGAATTTTTACAAAAATCTCAAATAAATATCCGAACTATAATATTGTCGTATAAATACCTGAACTTTTCAAAACTCTCACATAAATATTCAAACTTTTAAATTTTTTCCAAATCAAACAAACGCAACTGCTCACTCAGCAAAAAACTTCAGACTCAGCAAAAAAAACTGTTGACTCAGCAAAAACTACTGACTCAGCATTCAAAAATATTATTAAATATCCAAATATTCATCTATATATATTTAAATTAATATATACATATAAATTCACATATATATATACATATATATATATTAAAAATAAAATTATTTATAATTAATAAAACACATATACACATAACTACAATATATATATATATCATTACTAATGCATATATATTACAATAAAAATAATTATAATTAAATTTATTATTAAAAATAATAATAATACATAAAAATAATTATAATTAAATATATATTATGTATATATATTACTAAAAATAAAAATAATAATAATGCATTATTATTATTTTAA